GCTTAATGTATTATATATATGCAACAGTTTATTGAGCATTTTCTTTTAACAGTTTTAAATTTCAGTTACAGTGCGCATGAAGAACAATTCATAGCGCTCTCCAGTGCTGTAATCTAACAGACACCCGGGAGAAAGGATTATGATTTAGAAAACGCTATAACGCGACGCGCTGTGTGAATGCTGAATGGAGAATGACTGAGGAGAGATGAGTTTCCATTAACTTTAACTAACGACTTAAATATTTATTTTTACCTCACATTATGCTCTTGAATGACTTTAGAAGTCTTGGAATATAGTGCGAACACTTTATGGTGCTTTACAATGTTTATTATGCCTTTAGCTTAACAATAACACAATCACATTAATATCGGACCTCACTGAGAAGCTGCAGCCGTGGCGGGATTATTTTAGGTGTGGCGGCCGGCCACGGCAGAATGAATGTAGAAGCATCAGAAGCTTCATAGAAGCATCCATATTTGCTTCCTCTGATTTGCCGATCACGTTCAAAAACCGGCTGCGTGCATGACGTCCGGACGTCCCGTATAGGCTATAGTTACAAAAATGGAGGCGAACAGCCAGCTGATTTTATTTATTTATTAAATCGATTCTTGGACATTTCGGATCGATTCTGAATCGTTGCAAATGAGAATCTAGATTCTTCTGTGAATCGATTTTTTGGCACACCCCTAGTACCATGAGTGCAGCAGGCGTAATGATATTGACTTCTTTATATTGATATTGACATACAATATAGTCATCAATTTTAAACGCTTAGAAAAACACAACGTTTTATTTTGTGTCACCAGCCTAGGTCGAGTTACACTACTCGAGTAACTGTGTTTAAATAGGGAAAAACGAGGAAGTGTTTGGTCGCTTCTCTTTTTGGCCCATATTTAATGCACTGGGCTAAGCTAAGTGCTAACATAGTTTTGCGGCAATACAGAGCGATATAGTGCACGCACTGAGACGAGAGAGGTATGTATCAACTCGTCTTAGTTAAAGGAGCTGTATGTAAGAAATGTATTTCAATTTATCATAAAATGGCCCTGAAATGTCACTAGACATTAAGAAATCATGTACATTTCAAATACTTATATCACTGACAACAGTAGTCTGGCCAGGATATTGTCATTTAAAAAGTGCAGTTGCAGCCCTCAACTGATGTTGATGTTGTCATGTTGTGTTTTGGTCTGATGCTCCACCCTCCACCTATCTACCAATCACGAAGTCAGTAGTGTTGCGGCATCCGGGTTGCCAGCTCTGCTCTAGTTACCACAGCTGCAGCTCGTCACGTTCCTGCTGGATCCTGCAGCTAGATCTGGCAACCTCGAGTTAGGGAGGAGGGGATACTGGATACTACAGTAATTTGACAGTGATTGCGGTACTAGTTTTGGCCACAATCTTACATACAGCTCCTTTAAGGGAATAACATAGTTTAATATGAAAAACCGGTGGAGTAACCCTTTAAAGGCAGACTGAAGTGCCTTGAAACGCACAGAATTATTCAATGTGTTGACGTAATTTCCACTGAAACAGGAAGACAGGGTGGGACATATCGAACAGCTCCTCCCCCTTTTTACAATAGCCAATAGTGTTTTGTTTAGATCAGTTTCCTCTTAATCGCTTACTGTTTCTCCTCCTAATCTCCTCCATATCGTTTAAAAATATAGCATTCTGTGCGGTATTCAAATGGGGCCGATACGTTTGCTGGTATGCACCGACTCGCGCAAATGATCCGCTCTGTCCTATCGTGTCTCTGGACCGGAACAGACTGTTTGCGTTGCGGTGGTTCACGTTAGGCCTACATTAACGTGAAACTAGACTTCATTCGCCTCAATGAAAAGCATATTTACACTGTCTGAATCGTCCCTATCCCCTATATTGTGCAATGTGCCATTCACCATAAGAAAATAATGATGTGAAGCTTAAGTGCATAGTCAAGTCATTGATCCATATTGGCGACAGAATTTTTAAATTCTTATCTTGTAAATGCAAATTTTGTAATTCTTTGGAGCACGCCACACAAGCTAATAGATAACAGTAAGGCTAACATTCATACTCAAATCCCCAAAACTTCAATTTTGATTTCATGGGAACTTTCAAAAAATTTCGTTAATTGAAAAAAGCTCAAATAAAATACAAATATTAAACAAATCAAATATAAATTCACACTAGATTATATTCAATACGTCTATATACATTTACTTGTATGTGTTTAATGCAAGTAAATTTAATTCAAATTTAAAAATATGCAACGGTTATATAGGAACAAATGGCAATGTTCGTTTTATTTTATTTTCTTCATAATATATGAAAACATTTCTTAATGTTGAATTGTTCAATCAGAGTTTTGATTCAATTCAATGAATCCAACTTTTGTTTTGCATTTTTTCTGCACAATAAGCAATACATTATTTATACAATTTGCAATAGCTTAATTTAATATTGCTAGCAAAATCATATCAAATATATTGTGATGAATAGTCAATGTTGACCAGCCCTAGTTTGAACTTCACATGGTATTTTAGTTGAATGTATACTGGTTCTGTTGAATAAGAAGCCTTATTTATCTCTGTTATGCAAGCAATAATTGACAACCACTTCAAGAGCAGAATTTATTTACAAACAGAGTTTGTTGATGCAACCAAAATAAATGCAATATGTGTTTATCTGCGATTCTGCATGCATGTTTAGTTGTTCTTGATGATGCTGCTGATGGCTTCAGCATGGATGAAAGAGCTTCTCCAGACTGTTGAACACGTCTGTACATGTTCCAGCAGATCGAGCCGCCTCTGCATCTCCCTTTACATTCTCTGTACATCGAATTGCTGTGGGTTGTCGAATCTCTATTGTGCCAGACTGTTTACCATTTTACTCTGCTCAACTTTGTCATGTCGCCAACGTTGGTTCATGCTGCCTCCCTCATTAATTGCCAACTCTTGATAAGAAAGAATGACTTCCAGTTGCTTTATGGCTTTAATTTCAGTACTCGATACCAGGAACTAGGAACCTTTCACTGGGAGTGTTGTGACATGGAAGGGCACTTATTATATTTGAAGTGCTTGAAGTGGCTGTTTTTAATGCTTATGCAACAGTTTTCATAAAGTTACCAAAGTCACACGGAGGTCCAGTAACTGAGAACAGCCTTTTCCCTACATCGCTGATGTGATCAGTCTGAAGAAAGCTATCGGGTGTCGGCCTGTGATGTGTCAGCATGTGTGATTTTAAGGATTAGGGCTTTCACCATGGAACATTGCTTGAGTGTTGCTAGGGAGTGATTTCCAGTTGGGGCATAGTTATTTTGGCAGTCCTGATCAGTGATGTACTTTCTGCAGGAGGCACACAATCATTTTGTGGTTTTGTACCCTTCACTTTAAAAGGGATCGGACTATCGGAGTGCTTGGTGAGTTTTTTTTTTTTTTTTTTTTTTTTTTGAGTGTCAGCTTTCTGTTGCTATTGTTGTGCATGTAAAAGCAGGTGGGAGAGGTTCAGAACAACCTTTCTGGTGTTAACAATGGTGTAACGGGCACACAACAGGACACAACCCTCTTCTCACGCTGCACTGGCAAATAGCTGCTCATATTTTGTGTATAATTGTGACAATATGGGAAGTGTCTGCATTTGTTTCCTGTCTGTGGGCTCGTGGTTTGGTCGGGACCATTCTGAAGCCACACCTTTCTCATGTAGTGATTGGTGTAGCCTTTGAATATTTGTTAAAGCTGATTTGTGGATTTTTATTTTTTGTGGTGTTAAAATACTTTCTCCTATTTCAGCTTAATATGCAGAGGTCAACTATAATTAAGACATTTGTGTGTTGATTTATCTTGAAAACTGTAAACATCATGGCTCTGTCAGGCTGTCAAACTTTGCTCTGTTGTGGCTCAACCAATGATGAGAGTTTGGGGTTGGACTATCTGTTTGTCTGACCAATTGCAGTTTGGAAAGTGTTCTGGAAACTTATTTTATTAGGTTTATTTTATTTAATTTTTTGTATTTTAATTTTAAATGTATTGTTTGTTTTTATTGTATTTTTTTTTTATGTTATATATATTTTTTTTTACTGTTATATTTTATATTTAATTATATATATATATATATATATATGTATATGTATATGTATGTATGTATGTGTGTGTGTGTATACATTTATATGTGAGTAATATAATATTTTTTATTTCATTTAGCTATACCTTTTGGTAGTATTGGCACAGTAATGGGATATTTCCGCTTAACTTCAATGACTGAAAATCGTATTTTCAGTCAATGCCAATTTCAGTATCAGTGTATCAAATTTCTCACTACCAATTTTGATGCAAAAGCATAAACTAATATACTTTGAACTTTATTTGAAAAGCTAAATATTAATATAAAATATAATTTTTTTAAATTCAATCCTTCATTTATTGATTAATTTTAAAGCTACTTTTTCTACTGTAACTCTTTATTGTTCAAAATGTACAAAATGTATATGATGAGTATGTACATCATGAATCCATCTTCAAGTGTTTATATTCAGACTATTTTAGACCGAGCAGGACGCCAACGGCTGCGGAGTAGCCCAGTACCTGTGACTCGTCATATACATAAACAGAGAAGTAGCTCTGGCTACAATGTTCTTTCGCAAGACGCATGCAGTTTTGTTTATTAACTGCTAGAGTGCCAAAACTTCCATAGTGTACTCTTTAATTAAAATGAAAATTGAATTACAAATAAATTAAAGCTTTAATTTTTCAAATAGCTCATCAGAAATTGAAGTTTTTACGAAGTGCACTTGAATGTTTTCAGAGTGTGCGCAGACACCTGCATGTGTGTCAGTCAGTAGCAGAGACATTGACTTGATACCGGCGTACTGCATTAATATTCAGACAAACTGTTGATATGAATTGTAGCATCACCTTCAGGGCACGTTTTACTTATTGTTTGCCTTTAGCAGACTGGAATCAGTTAGTCAGGTGGGTGTGGACAGTTCATGTGCCATCCGGTATGTGGATTGCCCCGCTCTGGTGTCACTCACGATGGGTAACACCCGTGACGGTAGCGCCTCCGACCTGCTCCACATGGAGAGAATGCACCTGACCCTGCCATCTCGCCTCCCTCTTTCACACTTGCACTCTCTCTCCTCGCACTCTCTCGCTCTGTCGCGTTTACTCAGCCAGGATCTGGAGCCGCTTGCGCTGTCTGACTGTAAGTGCTCATCCGATAGGGAATCTCGGAGTTCCATGGGGAGCAGAAATAAAGGAAAGGGCTCTATATCCCTCAGGACAGTTTCAGAATGCCTCTTTTGTTTAGACAGGCCTTTTTTGTTATCTCGCATAACGCTTTTTTTCTCTCTTAAAAGGAACTTTTCTGACAAATGCAATTCTGAAGGTCTTTAATGACTTGGGCATAATAATGATGATTTTCTTTTATTTTTTTCTTCCCTCTGCAGGTAAAAAGAAGCTACCACTCAAGCTTCCAAAAGAGGCGTTTGACAAAACCCCACCTGCTCCTACGTAAGATTTTGTGCAGATTTCATTGAATTGATTAAATTGAAAGATAAATAGACTTTTATTGATGTCACATTTATATTCATAAACTGTGCTAAAAACTGAGGTTTTTTTTTTTTAGTCTGTGTTTTTGAGGTTCACTCTGGGTGTGCAAGTACAATAGATTTCATAATTAAGGCTGGCTTTAGTTAGTGAGTCAATTACCGTGTCAGACAAGGACACTCAATGGGATTTCTTTGTTCCACAGACCCCCAAGAGACCTGGACTCCAAAGCCTGTGTTACCATTGGAGATAAGGTGCGTTTCATCATCCTTTCTTTTCTTTAATTAAGATGGATAATCTTATGTAACTGTATCTTCATCTTTTACTTTTTTAATTGAATCAACCCTGTTTGTCTTCTGTCTTGTATTTTTTATGTTTTTTCCCCTTTTCATTTTGGTAATTTTTTTTTGTTTTTTTTTCAGAAAAATTATTTGCAGGGTCTTCTGCATATCTGTTATACATAAATCTGTGCATTGCAAAAAAAAAAAAAGCCCCTATGGGAAATTGTATTTAATGCTGCAAGGTTTCTCTTCACCTGCATCTCTCACTCGTCTGTATTTTAAAGCACTATGAGAGGAACTGTCCTTGGGTCACCTGTATGCAAAGCATTGTGACTTGTAATTTGCATTCCCGTGCTAAGGGGATTCGACTTATCTTTTTGAAATGTCATATTTTGCATTGCTTTTATGGTGATGTAACCCTGTCCCGGGCTCGATACGAAAGCTTGGCTTGGTGAAAGACCAGCGGGTTGTAAAGAATGGCCCAGTGCACATTACAGCCCTTTTGAATACGTCTGATTGTAGGCAGCCTGGAATGCACTTTACTGCCTCTCAGGCTATAAAAATATTTATTTTAAACTCATCAAATAAGTGAAATTTTCCATTGGCAAAGATTAAAGCTTTTAGTCTTGCAACCCAAGAGTAAGTAACATCAGTTTTTTGATAAAGTCAGGTTTGGGTGTAGGAGCTTTTGTGAAGAATATCTGAAGAACCAGGTTTGTTGCCTCCAGGTTGAAGGCGTTTGTTGTGATTGCTAGTGATAGGACAGGGATTGGAAGCATGCATTCCTGGAGATAACATTTTCCTTTCTTCATACCTCATAGGAAACAATCAGCTTATGCACATTTGTGCCATTTTCTTTTTAGATGTCTTTGTCTGTCTGTTTGGAATATAGGCTCCAGTCTGTTAGTGTTACTGTCTGTCTCTGTTTGTCTCTCTTTTTTCTTGGTTTCCTTTTATCTGCCATTCTGTGTGCATCAATTTCGGTAATATACCAACATTTGGTATATACCAACACTTTTAACACTCGTGTTTGTGTTCTAAGCAGAACTTTGTGGTGAAGGCAGATGATTTGGAGCAGATCGGAGAGTTGGGGCGAGGGGCGTATGGAGTGGTGGACAAGATGAGACACGTCCCCAGTGGTGTAATAATGGCAGTAAAGGTGAGTTCACACAGGCCCATGCTAGCTAAACCCATGTGAGGAATATTTTTGTTAGTAACTGTCCAAAGTTTCTTAAACTTTGGACATTGTCATAGTGGTCAAGATTTAGCTTTCCTACGTGTAGCATTTACCTAGCATTGCTTAAAATGATTCAAATATATCTACAATTAATACGAAAACAAATTTAAAGTAATTTTCTGGCTGAGTGCTAAGCAACCTGGCAACTTGCCCCATTTAGATGTGCGTTTATTAGCCTTTTAAAATAATGTCTCATTCATTCCATCATAACTATCAGTTTTATAGTATTATATTTTATATATATATATATATATATATATATATATATATAAAAATATGAAATGAAAAATATAATATTTATATATATATATATATATATATATATATATATATATAGTATACTAATATATAAATATATATATATATATATATATATATATATATAGTATACTGTATATAAATATTATATTTTTCATTTCATATTATTTATATATATATATATCATATATCATATATATCATATCTTATATCATATATATAATATCATATATCATATCATATTATTAATCATATATCATTAATCATATATCATATTATTAAACATATATTATTAATCATATATCATATTATTAATCATATATCATATCATTAATCATATATCATATCATAAATTAAACACTTTGTTAATCTTCTTTAAGTTAACCTTTTTTCTTTTTCAAAAGTGTTTCTTGATATTTTTATATTCATAAAAACATTAAGCAACACCATAAGTGCACTTCTGCTAGAAAAGTGATTGTTGTGAGAAGTCTCATTTGTTCATTAAGGCAGCATTTATTTTTTCAAAATAGCAAAGACCGTAATATTGTGAAATATTATTACAATTTCAAATAATTTATTATAATAATCTATAATATATTTATAGTTTTCAGCAGCCATTATTCCAGTCTTCAATATCATGATCCTTCAGAAATTATTCTAATATGCTGTTTGGATGGTAAAAAAAAATTATATATATATATTCTTTTACCATTATCAATGCTGAAAACAGTTTCTAGATTCTTTGATAAGTAGATATTTCAAAAGAACAGCATTCATTTGGAATTAACTTGCCATCATCACCCACTTGTTTCCCGCAGCGGATCCGGGCCACAGTAAACACGCAGGAGCAGAAACGGCTGCTAATGGATCTGGATATCTCAATGAGAACAGTCGACTGCTTTTACACCGTTACCTTCTATGGAGCCCTTTTCAGAGAGGTTCGACAACACGCACATTAAACACTGAACACATGCACTGAGCAGTCATGTCATTTACCTGTTAGCATTTGCAGCTGTTTTAATACTACAGCACAAAGTACCGGTAGTTCTTGTATAGACCAGAGGCAGAGCATGTCCAGTTATCTGAATCGATGTCCTAATAAACGTTGACCCCCCAAAAAATCCCACAGGAAGTCGTACAATGGGAATGTGTTTCAGTCATTTCCTGCTGTCTCATTTTTATGTAAGGTTGTTGTTATGTCTCAAACCCCAGTTGTAAGCTGATTGGCTCGTTGTGTTGTCAGGGTGATGTGTGGATCTGCATGGAGCTGATGGACACCTCTCTGGATAAGTTCTATAAGCAGGTGCATGAGAAGGGCATGAACATCCCAGAGGACATCCTGGGCAAGATCACCGTCTCTGTAAGTACCACCTGATTTCCTGCATCTCTCAATGGCAAGCTGTTGCTCTCTGGTCTGCATATTTGAATTTGTCTACTGTATTTTCTGGACTATAAGTCGCTTTTTTTATCATCTGAAACGTACCGCGACTTATATTCCGAAGCGACCCATAATGCTATTAACGTCAAGCATGCAAAACAGAGCACATAAATGCACACACATGCGCATGATAAACAAATCCGTTCTAGCATAGGTGCCACTAGTGTCACAGGACCTGCATACTTCACTTTTAATGAAATTAAGACTTAAGGAGCTAATCGTAGACACAAGACCCGTTGACCTGAGCTAAAGGAGAAAGCTGTTCACAGTGCAGTTATATATCCATTAGGACTGGCAAGCGATTACATTTAAAAAAAATAAAATAATTAATTACATGATGTGCTGATTAATTAATCGCAAATCGAATTTTGTAAAGTAATTACTCCCAAATGATAATTATAAAGTCATTATTGTGTTGAATGAGAAAAACATTAAATAGACATTACAAAAAGTAGGCTAGTTATTATTATTCAACATAGAATTTGTAACACAAATTTTTAGGCTACAACAGCCATGATTTTATTTTCAGAATCTGCACCTGAATTGTTATTTAGATTATTTATGGACCAAACCAGTTACCAACATTCTTCAAAATATCTTCCTTTATGTTCCGCAAAGAAAGTATGTCGTACAGGTTTGAAACGACATGAGGGTGAGTAAATGTACATTTCAGGACAAACTATCCCCAAAATTGAAATGATGTTTTTCAATGAAATGATACTCTAAAAAAGAAACTAAAACTGCCAGTAGGTGGCGATAAATGTCTAAACGAGTAAGCCATACATTCAATTGATTTGTTCAAAAGGCTGATTCATTCAGGAATGAAGTAAATGGCTCTCTTTATGAATGGAACATTGAATCATTGGCTCACGCAATTGATTCACTCAAAACGCGGGTTTATTTAGAAACTAAACACCGCTGTGTGATGCTCAGAGACGCACAACAGTTCTGCTCTGGCTTCATAAGGTATTAGTTTCGATTGCTAAATTGAGCAAAAACAGACAATATAACAAAATATGAATTACTTTATTGAACTGTTGTATAAAATCAATATCACATTTCACTCGTGCTATTCGGGACAAAAACGGCACTCGTGTGATATTGCTTAACTTTATCCAATGATATAAATATGAGAAACTCATACAGAGGCATTTTTGCTCTGATATCTTGAATTTTTGGGCTACATTTTATAGGCTACATCACACAGTGTTCACTTTTGTTTCATAAATTCGTATAGGCAAAGCATTTATAATAAATATTGTTTATATGAACAAACACCTCTATAAATTATTATGCACTGCTCTTTTACATTTATTAATGTAATAATAAAATGCGACTTATCTGTGTTTTTGTTTTTGTTGTTGCATTCCCACTTTTGAGATCATTTTAACGCTGTGTAATTCCTGAGCCTGTGCAGTTCTGTAATGAGCCTGATGTTTTATGTTCCCGTTGCAGATCGTAAAAGCATTGGAGCATCTCCACAGCAACCTGCAAGTGATACACAGAGGTGAGCCGGGACTAAAGTACAATATCGTATATTTGCTTTTTAATGATGCCAGCAACTGATTTTCCAGTTTTCTGTTGTGTTTTTTTGCAGATGTGAAACCCTCTAACGTCCTGATAAACATGCAGGGTCAGGTGAAAATGTGTGATTTTGGCATCAGTGGGTACCTCGTGGATTCGGTGGCGAAGACAATGGATGCCGGCTGCAAGCCATACATGGCGGTAAGCAAAACAAAAGAGGAAATGCATATTTTATTGTCTTATGCTGTGACTTCTATTTTTTTATGCGCATCTTTATAGTCAATTAACGACAGTATACAACAAAATTGTATTAATCAACATTTGATCAATTATTATTTTTTATTTATATATTATTATATATTGGTTTATATTATGTATATTCATAATATTTATATTTTATTATTTTGTCTGTGTGAATTTTTTATAATAAATATATAAATGTACATTTGTTAGTATATTCATTATACACATTTATAAATATTTGTTAAATCATTTTAAGAAAGTTAAATGGTCAATTTTGATTTTAAGTCTTTTTAATATGAACATGTAGGGTCAGTTAAACTGCAGAATTTTTTAGTGAAACGGAAAAGCGTGAAGCGTTTTTGACTGTTTGCCATAAATATTGAATCAAGGTAATTGATTTTATATTTCGCAATTGCAAGTTTATATCTCACAATTCTGAGAAAACAAATCATAATTGAGATAAAAAGCTGAAATTATTGGGGTTTTTTTTAAATTGTGAGTTTATATCTGTCAGTTCTGACTGTTTTTCTCAGGATTTTGAGGTATAAACTCAGAATTGCAAGAAAATTCTGAACGACGAGAAAGTTGTAATTACCTTTTTTATTTGCGAATTTGTCTCACAATTGTGATCGTGAGATATAAAATTGTGCGATATAAATTCACAATTACCCAGTATTGTATGGTGGAAACAAGTTTCCATTCAGTAATGAGTTAAATATGAGCTGTTCAAAAATTCAGCCATTCAAAAAAAAAAGCACACATTGAGACACTGATGTGGTCGAGGCATGAGACAATGCGGATCTAGAGTTCTTCACACACCTCGTCTGTGTTCATGTGGTTCTGTATAAAGGTGTGAATGTTGTGCATCTAAAAAAAGAGACGTGTCGTAAAGAGGGGAATATAGTGCAAAGCAAAAGTGATAAGTATATTTTATTACTTTTTTTTATCTCTACCTCCTCTTATCAAACCACACTTCCTCTTTTGCCCACAATCAGAATGACCAGTCATTTTTCTTTTTCATTCACAGCCTGAGAGAATCAACCCAGAGACCAATCAGAAAGGCTACAATGTCAAGTCTGATATCTGGAGTTTAGGAATCACAATGGTATGTGACCTCATATACTTTTAACACTTGTTGCTTAATTAGTAACACTTCATAAAATGTTTTTATTATTGACATTATGCAATGTTATGTTTATTAATGCTTACTAGATCATTAATGTGTATCCAAACTTCTTGAATATTAGGCCTGTCAATTAATTGTTCAAATATTTAGTCACGATTAACCACATCATTTCTTTTTATAGTTTACACTTTAACATATTCAATTTTAATTAATAAAATTTATAATAGGCCCATGTGTAAATGATAGGTGATAAAACACTTTATGACTTTATGGACATAAACAACATGTAAAATATATTTATGTTTGTGTGAATGCCAGTGTTTCGCTTGAGCTTTAAAGTCACCATGAAATCAGTGGAATATTTCAGTATTTATTATGAATGATTTATCTGTGCACATCATCTTTTTTTTTTTTTTTTAGTTCACGTGCCCTCAGATTCTTTAATCTAAATAACTTCCCCTCCTCTTGCAACATCTCTTTTGATGTGTTTTTCGGTTTGAGTGCGGGACACTCACATGAGATCACAGCAATAGCAAACAACAACCATCCAATCATCTCCTGATGGACAAAATCAAGTCCCGCCCTACATTTTTTTTTCTTTATCTGTCACAACAGGGAAGAAAAGACTATCGCAACTTCTGTTTCATGCTGACTTTAATTATGATTAAATTTGACCTTACAAAAAATAAATAAATTACCCATAAAAAGCATCTTTCTCTATTATTTACCGATCGTTACATAAAAATAAAGAAGTTCCGCTGTGTCTGTGTAGCATGGTAACATTGTGTACGATTTTTCACCCTGTCAGATCGAGCTGGCCATTCTGCGGTTTCCCTATGACTCATGGGGAACGCCGTTTCAGCAGCTCAAGCAGGTGGTGGAAGAGCCGTCGCCCCAGCTGCCTGCAGACCGCTTCTCAGCCGAGTTTGTGGACTTCACGTCACAATGGTGGGCGAGCTCTTACACACATTTGCTAACTTGCACATCAAAGCTCAACAATAAGCGATGCCAACTTTCACTGGGCCAACCACAAATACACAAGGCTCCAGGCCATCCTTATTGTTGAGAAACATTCATTTAAAAAATAATCATTTGGGTGCTGATTATGCAACACTTTTTTCAACTAAAAACGTAAACCTTTTTATGTGTTTTGGCCGTTCATTTACACGACAACAGCGTTTTGGGGGCATGAAAACGCAAACTTTTCAAAACGGGTTTCAAAATGTGTACGTTTTTGAAAATGATACCATTATCGTCTCCGTTTAAACTACAAAAACACGAATTTGTGAAAACGGTGACATCATGCCGATGCGCATGTGTATTACGTGTTCAGTCTATAGCCGTGTAGTGTTTCTTTACAAAGTGACATCTCTAACTACTGGCCTGGCAGCAGAATACAGCGTTTTTACTCGTTTCCGCAGATCCGTGTGAACGGGACCGTTTTGACATCTGTGTCGTGTGTACGCAAAACATTTCAAAAACGCAAAGGAAAAACGTTTTTTTTTTATTTATTTTTTAGTACATCATTGTCATGTAAACATTAGTTTTGAATTGTAAGTGTTATTAAAACTTTGCAGAGTTGGGATAAATTATACTTTTTTTTTTCTTTTTCTTTTTCAGCAACATTTTAAATTGACCAAGACATTTATAAATGTTACAAAAGATTTCTATTTAAAAGAAATGCGTTTCTTTTGAACTTTGTTTTAAATAAAAATAAACACAAAAATATTAAGCAGCACAATAATGTGGATAATAAAAATAAATGTTACTTGAGCAAAATATGGTGATTTCCGATGGATCATGTGACACTGAAGACTGTAGGAATGGCTGCTGAAAGTTCACCTTTGCCATCGCAGGAATAAATGACATTTTAAAATATATTAAAATAGAAAGCCTGCAATAATATTTCACAATATTACTGTTGTAGTGCCTTTTTAAGCATAAGACACTTCCTTCAAAAACAAACAAACCTTTGCACCGTGGTGTATATCATCACCGTGACATTTTCAGGGCACTAAACTGTGTCCAAAACATTTTTTAATGTATATCACATTTTTGATACATTTTTTTTTAAAATAAATGCAATATAGTTTCATTAAGTGACTGAATCACTGAACTGTTAGATCTGTATACACTTCTGATTGGATCGTCTGAGATGGATATTAGTACCATATGTAAATGGTGTATAAGTTCACACAGGATGTTTTCTTTGTGGCTCGTATTTGTGGGATTACCATGACTCGAGATTCTGTAGAATTGCATTTCTCTGGAACAATGCTGACACCCCACATAGTTTCGTGAAAGTGAAAACACTGTCAGTAAACCTGTAGCGTAGACACGCACACACACACGCACTATACATACCTTGACTCTGCATTGTGAACTGGGAAAGCGAACAGGATGTAGAAACCCTGATTGCATCCTCTCTTTCACATTGTGAGGGGAAGTACTGAGGCCACAGCGTGCTGCATTGAGGTTTTTGCGCTCTCCTGCTGCACTTGTGATGATTTGTTGTGCATTTCTAACATGCATTTGCTTTGCTTTTCTCTGGTTGTTTTTCAGCTTAAGGAAGAATTCCAAAGAGCGGCCAACTTACGCAGAACTAATGGTGAGTGTGATGCTGACAGTTTTTCATTTTCTTTTATAACAAGCACTTCCCTGGATTGTCCTTTAGATGTCAGACTTGTGCTTTCAATGCAAAGTTGTACCTTCTCCTTATTGGCTTGTAGTGAAGTAGATATACGATTCTGTTTGGTAATTTATCTAAAACTATTGTAATAACTTTCTAATACTGTATATATTTAAGCTTAAATATTTGTATTTAAATTCAGGGATTTTCAAAACCTCAAATTGTGATAAAACACTTGCAGCGCGTCAAGTGTAGTGTATATATTTTTTCATTTTTACAAACAGTGGGGTCCAAAAGTCTGAACCCACTATAAATAATGTATTTTGCACTTAGAAAGACCTAGAAGTAGTTCACAACTATACATATATTTGTTAACCATTTTTGCATTGAAATATACAATGCAATTTGCTTTTTGTGTGAGCACAATATTGATATTTCAAATCTTTTCCACACCCAGCAACATCCCTTTTTCACCATCCATGACTCCAAAGACACCGACGTCGCTAGCTTTGTGAAGAGCATCCTTGGGGACTGAGACGGAGTGCATTCAAAACTGACGTGTTACCGTATGGGGGGGAGGGGGGAGATGGGACAATTTCAGAAAAAGCACCAATAGCAAGACTAACACCTGTAAGACACGCCCACCTCAGCTGCCAGCAGTGCACAGGTACTCAGGAGGATCTGTGGGGTGGGGGGGCACCAAAACTGAGGGTGGGCGGGGCGTTTCCTAGCAACACACGAAGTAGGGCATGGGACAGGAATCTCAGCGCGTGTGTGTGTGCATGTATGTATGCGTGTGTGTGTGTGTGTGTGAATTCTTTGCCTGCATGTATGTGCATACATCTGCATTAAAAGGTTTTACAGTCCCAAGTCAAACTTCATCTATTGTTCAATCCCAGTTCCTCCTCCAGCTTTACCTCTCAATCCAAAAAGAAAAAGCAGTTTTAGCATCAGGTGAGTGTGTTATAGATGTCTGTTGAGTTTCCCCAGTGGCACTTCAATGTAATTCTCAAAGTATTCAGCAATGTTATCCACCCCCACGACGTCCGGTTCTTCAAAAAAAATCAAAAAAAAAAAAAAAAATTAAAAGAAAAAAAAAGAGAGTGGTATTGATATATTTATCTATTATCTAGATATGTATATATACTCAAAAAATATTTCTTGAATTTGTTAAATGAGTATATGAGGATAATATTGTGTTGGCTGTAAGGAGTGATGGTTATTAAAGTGTATGAATGGAGCATCTTTCTTGTTTTCCTGGATTTGCAAAGACTTATTTGTGCATCTGTCACTGAAGGCTTATCAGTTTATAAATGCTGTCTCAATCAGACGTTAACAGCCAGAAGTGAAAAGCCCGCGGTGGTTGGTAGCAAACACTGCTTTTCACATACCCTCCATGAACTCTGTGTGTGTGTGACTAAATGGGTGTACGCTTGTGTGTGCTTTATATGCTATTCCTCTATATACCAAGGTAATTTTGGGCAAAAGGTATCTTTTGGCTACATCTAGACCTCTCTGTTCTGAGCCAATCAAATAATTCTCACTCTTTTCAATTGCAATCCAACTGGAAATTATATTATTATTATTATTATTATTATACACAGTGCATATGTATTAACAGTAATGAGGTGTTCTGCAGTTTCTGTATGTGTTGTAACTGCTGTTTTTCTCATTGGAAACTTGACAATTTCTTTTTAATTTTAAAGTGGTGTGCAGGTATGAGCGTGTGGTCATTTGTGTGCATTAAAGTGAGCGAGAGAAAGTGTGTGCGTGCATGCATGTGAGCGTTATATAAAAGTCTGAACACACATAGCTGACACTTCTTTCAAAGCCTCACTGTGACTCGGAAGCCTGATTTTGTGCCTCTCTATAGATAAAAAGCAAAAAAAACAAATAAAAAAAAAAACACCTACATTAAAACAAACTACAATAGCCACGCTGCTTTGTCACTAAGACATGCTTTGCTTTCCACATGCTTCAGATAGTGGAGGAAGTCTGTTGCGTTGCTTTCTGGGCTTCAGGTTTTATTCTCGTATCATTTCTGTAAGGTGAAGATGATGAATGTGTGCGTGTTTTTTTTTTTTTTTTTTTTTGTCTTGTGACCACTGTATACAGAATGGATAACACTGCTGATTTGCCTGTAATCGTTATATTGTTTGATTCAAACATAAAAGTTCTCTTATATCTTCGCTGCTTCTTTTTAATATACTACATTAAAATGGTCAGGATTTAATTTCTGAAGAAATTAATCATTTCCTTGGTTTATAGTTACATTTTTCTGCATGCATAATTTGTGTACAATAGAATCATATCAACATGGTTGTGGTCTTTTGACAGGAGAAACACATTTATATATATATATATATATATATATACATAGTATATATAGTTTGATGTGACATTAGTTTTGATTACAATAGTACACAGGATCATATATACATTGTGTGTGTATGTATATGTACACACACACACAAACTATATGTACCATTATGGGTTTTTTGTTGCATTGTGACATTATTTTCACATTTATTATGTGAACAAAATTAATGCTCATTTAAATAGTTACAGTATTTTTACTGCAATACAAGAAAATGTGGATTGCAGTAATGAAATCACCATTGAGAATAATCTGAATGATCATATAAATACGGTTCATTCCTCTGGTGTTGATAATATGGGGTTAATTGTCATGAAAATATCACGATGCAAAAATATCCTAAAATGAATTAATATTGTTTGTGAAATATAATTTTATTGCTTTGGAGTAAAATGTGACCTGGACACGTTTCCCTAAAATTCACCCACTAAAAATGCAAAAACAGGCATGTTAATGAACTCCTGAAACACGTGAGAACTGACTTTACAGTTTAATGATTTCTAGACTTTTCTGTCCTCAAGTGTTCTTCCTCACAAAGATGACCGCTGGATGCCACCCAAATCTCTCCACTCCGTCTGCCTCATTCATCCTAATGAATGTTCCCAGCCATCATATGTTTTAATATTCGACATCAGAGAGTGGACATGACCATGAGATGACAGTACAAGGATTTACCTTCAGCACAAGCCTTTTGAAAGATATTTTTCATGCATGGCTGATGGAATAAGAGATGTCTTTCTTCTACACAATTCTCTTCATTTCTCATTTGTCTTCATTTCTTTTACCTTTCAAGTGCTAGTTTATCAGTTTCTTGTTACTTTATTAACTTTGTTATTTTTATGATGGTCTTCCTTTTAAACAGGTGCCATTAGTATCCTTCGTAGGCCTATGTTTTTTTTTTTTTTTTTTTTTTTTAGAATGCGTTTTAAGTGCATATAGTTCACTCAGTATATATATATAACTGTTAAAATATACCTTTTTAATGCATCAACAATCTGGTAACTATTTTTTAAAAGAAGTTTTTATTATGCTTTCCAAGGCTGCATTTAATCAGTTCAGGAAATATTATCACAATTGTCTTATTTCATACATTTAAAAATTACATTTTGTTCATGTGATGGCAAAGCTGAATTTTCAGCATCATTACTCCAGTCATCAGTCTCACATGATCCTTCAGAAATCATTCTAATATGCTGATTTGGTGCCCAAGAAACATTTCTTATAATTATTATAACTATTTTAAACACTTTTGGTCTCTCTCACCATCTCTGTCCCACACAGGAGGAGGAGGGGGGGGGGGGGGGGGGGGATTAGAGCTTTGTGATTTTATGACTTGCCATTCCAGAATGTCACACATCTTTTCCATTCGTTTAGTTGATGTGACAAGAAGTTTGACTGAGAAGAACCCAAATCATGATGTCCTGCAAAGAACATCCATCCATCTCTCTCTCTCTGGCATTTTACATCTTCAAAGGTTGTCTAATCCCATCCAATTATTTTTCAATGGTTGCGGATGCGAAATATATGGCTTTTGAGATTTGTTTCAACCGTCAACACACGCCTTTCAAAGACATGGCGATAAACCTGCAAATGCAAAATGACTGACAGACTAAACTTTTCTGATTAGCTGTTTTTATCTGTAATATAGTATAGGGAAGATTTATATATATATAAAACATGCAGCACTTTTAATGCAAACTTCATACAGACAATTGGGCTAGCAAATAAATGCTACAATATAGCTTTACAAATAAATGATTTTTGTCAACTCGAAAGTAAATATGCCTCATACAATGTATCAATTTTAATACATTTTGAATTTGTATTTTGTGAATAATTTAATAAATCCATTTCTTTTATTGCAATAAAAGAAACAGCACCACATTGAATACATTAACATAAAAGGAAATTAAATTCACTGTCAACGTCTCCCCCTCCCCCATTGCGTATTGTCACATGTTTTATCTATTTTGGCCGATAACCGCCCAACAGATTCCATCTGTTTTAAAGAGGGTGAGCAGAGTAATTTTTCAATCTCTTTTTGCTTAATATAAGCCTACTTTAAAATATTGTGGTTATAGTGCATTTCAAAGTGTTTATTGCTAAGTTTAGCGCGGCATTATAGGCTACCTCAAGTAATCGCGTGAGATGTATCTGGTTGCCATCATGCCATGACAACTTCACGCGCTCGCTGCTCTCTGTAGTCATAGTAAAAAAAAAAATCACTTCAATATTGTTAAATGTGGAAATATACGGATTGTGAATTTGTAGGTTTATACTGTAGAAAAGCTAAAATATTAAAATGGTGAGTTGGTGACTGACCAAACCGACTGGCTCGGTCTGGACTCCCCTGCTGGAAAAGCTGGTTTTAGCTGATGGTCTCCCAGGCTGGATTTAGAAAGGTTTTTAACACTATTGTTAGCTGACCAGGGGTGCGTTTCCCGAAAGCATCGTTAGCCAACTATGGTCGCAAGTTGGTCGCAAATCCCATTGAACTCTATTGGTAACGACGGAACTTGCGACCATAGTTGGCTAACGATGCTTTCGGGAAACGCACCCCTGGCTGGTTAAGCTAGCAGACCAGATAAAACCAGCTGAACACCAGCTTGGCCAGGCTGAAAGACCAGCTTAAACCAGCTAACCAGCCTAGGCTGGTTTTAAGTTTGTTTTCTTTTCTTCCAGCAGGGTACTCCAAGCTCAGATGTCAAGCTATGCCCATGTTCCAAAACTACGGTAGGTTTTCACAGTGATGCCATAGAAGAACCATTTGCTTCCTCAAACAGCCTTTTAGTGATTTTAGAAATCTAAAGAACATGTTTCCACTATAAAGAGCCTTTTGTAGAATGGAAAGTTTCCATGGATGTTAAAGGTTCTTCTTTGAACCAAAGCTAGATGCCAATAAAGAATCTTTTTTTAAGAGTGTATGCGCTCCTCTTCTTTTGCTTTGATGTTCATTCCTTTATTTGTTTTCAAGGCTGGTTGTATATACGCTTTATTAATCAGTGCATCATCAAAAGAGATGCAGAAAAGAGTTCTTTCATGAGATATCATCAGTAGGAGGTCATATAATTATTATGCTTTGTGTTTGACCCTTTATGCTGTGGTTTGATTCTTTCTCTCCTATGACAGGAGAATGACGAGCCAAGTATCACACTAGGTGTCAAAAAATTGCGTTTCAAGGAGGTGCGTATTCGTCTGATTGTTAATTAAAGGGTTACAGCTTTCCATGTAGGGGTCTCTATAACCAGCTCTATCAAGATACCCACATGCTGACTAAACTCAAGTTTTAGGAATATGTCACCTGCACAATACAATGAAACACGTGCCCTGGGAGCCGTTGCTGACGTTTCGGTCTGTTGGGTGTTGCTTTAACCAAGTGTTCTCAGAAAGAATAAAACCGATGATTTCATCTCCTCTTACTAGAATACGAGAATACGGCTTTAATTAATCACAAAGCTTCGTGTGGACGTTGATGTGACTGATCCAATGAATCTCCACAGATAAAGAATTCAAGGAAATGTGAGGACATGTCTGTTCCTGTTCCGATGCTGTAAAAAACCTGATGGGGAAAGTCACAACTTATGGGGTGGTATATAGGCATTGCGTTTTGTGGGTTTCTGTTTTATCCAAATCTGAAAACGCTTCAGGACTTTAAAGTTAAAAAATGTTGTCAAATCTGTCCTAACTGTCATAGAGCACATTCCCAATGCACAAGCTGCTCCTAATTCAAAGTAAAATTACAAAAGTAAAATTACAGTCAAACAGAAGCAATACTACACTGCAGTTATTTATACCAAAAATAAATAAAAATTATAGTTCAATTCTTTAATGAATTGCAAACAGTAATGAACAACGTAAAATGCTTTTGCCGAAACTTGTGTCAGTAGTATTATTAATATTTTAAATGAGCTTTTATTTATATCTTGTCAGTTTTTTTATTTTAGTTTACGTTTTAGTCATTGTGCTTTCATCTTTTTTATAATTTCTATTTAGCTTTAATTTAAATTTTATTTCTGTTTTAGCAATTTTAGTACTTCAGTTAGTTTATGTTAAAGTTTTTTAAGTACATTTTTAAGTCTTAAGTTTTCATCTAATATTTATATTTTATTTTATTTCAGATTTACTTTAATTAACATCATTTTAATAGTTATAATTTTAGTTAAAAAATAACAATACTGTTTTACGTAGGGCCTGAATCATTCGTATGATTTACATAAACCGAACCAAATTATTTGCTAAAATGAATTGGACTCCTCAAGTTAAAGGAATAGTCAAACAAAAAATGAAAGTTCTGTCATCATTTACTCACCCTCATGACGTTCATAAACCTACATGGCTTGTTTTCATAAGATTTTGAAAAAGTATTTGTCCATAGTGGAGTCCAATGTTGTAAAGGTAACAAGGAAATATCTTCTTTTGTGTTCTGCAGAACAAAGAAAGTCCTACAGGTTTGGAACGGCATGAGGGTGAGTAAATGATGACATTTTGGGTGAACTAGCTTTTCTGCTTTTAGTTAGTTACACTGCTCTTCTATTTTTATGTAGAAAATGTTTGTTTACAGTGTTGAACTCGGCAGTAAATGCACAGTGAGTTTATTTTATAACAGCTTTTTCTTTGTAACAAGACAAAAGTGAGTTTTTAGCTTGAGGACGTTGGGGCCTTTTTTGTCAGCCTTTTTTATCGTCATTTTACCCCCGATTATTTTATTTATTTATTTTTGCAATGCTCCCATGCAGCTGAGGACAGTTGCCATTAATTCAACAGGTTCTAGGAATGAAATGGGAGCTTTGACTTAATTTTTCTCATAAGACA